GGCCACAGCCCTGGGGAGCTGGGTCCCTTTTCCTGGACTCGATTTTCGCGGGAAGCCTGGTTCGTCTCGCTCTCTTGGAGTGAGCAAACGGGACAATCCTCCGGAAAGTTTTTAATCCCCACCCCTGTAGCTCTTGCGCCCAGGCTGAATAGGTGTCCACTACCCCTAGCATCCTCTGAAGTCCAGGGCATGTGGGCTGGCTTTGCTAGAGGAGACAAGCTCTGCAGGGTCAGCCTTGTGCTGGAGTTGCAGGGTCGCTAAGCAGAGCCCGAAGGTGGGCTTGCCAACTGCAGGCTGTTTGTGTCCAAGGAGTCAGCCGAGATATGAGGGGGTCTTTGGGTCTAGGCAGCTGTGCTTCCAAGTTGTCTGGATGGTGAACATTGGGAAGGAATAGGATTGAATAGTTTGAGCTAGACCTGGAGGCAGAACCCTTGTCATGTCTGTTCTGGGTGCCTCTCTGAGATCCTTGCTGGCTGGGACCTCTGGGCAGCCCCGAGATGCCAACGTGTCTGCCATTCCCAGTTTGAGGGGTAGACTTTTCTGGTCTATAAGGCCTGATCTGCTGTGTTCTTCATTCTGCAGGCTGGATCCCTAGGGCCAGGCTTAGAAGGCTGCTACTGCCTGCAGGCTAGGGGTGTAGGCAGTGCTACAGTGTAGGTTGTCTGTCACAGGGGCATGAACCTATACCTCAGTACAACTAGTTCTACAGACCCTCCTTGGCCCCCTAGGCCTCTACCCAGGAGGTTTAAGTACTTTGGAAAGTGCTGGTACAGAAAAAGAGTTGTGTATTTGCCATTGAAACTACCTCTATAACCTTATTTCCCAAGCAGTCCTAGAGTGCTACCTAGGAGGTGCCAGTTACTTAGAGTCTGGGAAATAACTAGATACATTTTGCTGTGCTGGGAGTTGGCCTGCAAATGCTCTCTGAGGAAGCTGAGGCCACCCACTTTTCTCAAACTTATTCTGCCTCTGCCCTTACTCTGAGCATCCCATGCATGGCCTGTCCTGTTGCATAGGGAGAGCATAGAGAGTGCATAGAGAGCTTCTTTGGCTGTTTAGTGAAACTCTGCACTCCCCGAGGGCGAGCTAGGAGTTGGGGCCAGCCCCCAAAGACTTCAAGGTGACAGTGGAGATAAAGAGACTTTATCTGTAAACAGAAGTCCTAAAAGTGAATTGGGAACTGGGGGTGTGGCAGAGCACTTGCTTACAATCCCAGTACTGGGGCGGTCAAAGACAAGGGATGCAGTTGGTCAAGTGCTTGACTGTCTAAACCTGTTAAGTTTAATCCCCTACACTGTCTAAACTTAACGTGGTGGTACATACCTATAGTCCCAGCACTCAGGAGATGGGATACCAGCAAGGTCATCTGCTCATATGGAGTTTGATGCCCAACGAGGCTGCATGAGATCCTGTCTCAATAACCCCCTTCTGGCACTGGAGTGATGGTTCAGTGGTTAAGAGCACTGGGTGGTCTTGCAGGGAACCCAGACTCAATTCTCAAACACCCATATAACGGCTAATTCCAGTTTCAGGGGATACAACACCCTCTTCTGGCTTCTGTAGGCACCAGGCACATATGTGGTACACATAAATACACACAGGCAAAACACTCATACACACTTCTTTCAAAGTTACCTGTATAGCCTTTCAACTGAAAGGGCATTTTTAGTTTGGGAATGGGTTACTCCTCAAAGAGAAGACGCCTCCATTTCACTAGGAGTGGAGGTGCAAGGTGAGGAAGTCCCTGGTGCCTTCTAGGCTATCATCCCTTCCTCTCTTGCTCCCTTCCCTGAGGCAGTGACTCACCCACAGAGTGCCTTGGCCCCTCTACCCTTGGCCAGCTGTTTTAGTCTCATAGGATTTCATTTTCTGGGTAGAACTAAAAATCTGCCCCTTTCTGGAACTGTCAAAATTCCTGGGAAGAACCTCTTTACTTCCCTGGGTAGGGAGAAATGGGCCAATCCCACTTCTTAGCGCAATCTAGAGTCACTGCCAGTCTGCAGTTACTCCACTAGGTTGGCATCGGCCCTTGCACAGCAGGCCACTCCAGGCCTCTGTTCTCTCCTCAGAGTACCTCCCCCAAGGTTGCCCAATGAAGGAGAGAACCCCTCTGTCATAGTGGTTCAGGGTTTGCACCGTGCATGGGAGGGAGGACACCGCTCTGCTTCAGATGATCAGAAGGAATTGCAAGCTGTAAGGCTCAGGGAGCAGGGGCCCTAAGAAGGTTAACCTACAGACTGGGATCAAGGCAGAGCTGAAGCCACTAGGAGATAGACTTTGAACATCGGAGGGCAGGGCAAGTGGGGCTTACTCTACCTGCCCCATCCCCAGTGTTGAGTTCCATAGCACCATTTCAGCCTCTTCCCTGCAATGGGATGGTGCTGGGTGACATAGCTCCCACTTCACTTTCCTATGTCCCTCAGGATCCTCCTTCTTCCTGAAGACCCCTGGCTTTGACCCAAGTTTTTAGTTTCCACAAGGAAATGGCTTGGACGTGGCTGTAGTCATTAGCCTACACCTCCCTCCTACCTTTTCCAGAGAAGCATGAACACATCTGTGTGAATGTTCAGAGCCCCCTCTATGAGACGGCGAGTGTTGTTCCCCCACAACAACCCATACCATCTACACTCCTGAGGTGTGTCTGACTAACGCAAGTGGAGGTGGTGGTCACATGTGGCCTCAAGGACTACTCAGATCTCAGCCAGAGCCCCTTCTGAAAACCATCCAAGGGTTATGTTGGCCTGTGGCTTTCAGGGTATGGTGCCCACAAGTGCAGCTCTTCCCACATGACACCCAAAGCTGCTGTGCAGAGGCTGATATGATTGTCTAGATTCTGAAGCTCTGGGATCTGCTCCAGGCTGGCCAGGGAGGAGGGTGCTGCTGCTAAGACTGAGGTGATGGCCGGGCGTCGGTGGCATACCCCTTTAATCCCAGCACTCGGGAGGCAGAGGCAGGTGGATCTCTGTGAGTTCGAGGCCAGCCTGGTCTCCAGAGCGAGTGCCAGGACAGGCTCCAAAGCTGCACAGAGAAACCCTGTCTCGAAAAAACAACAACAACAAAA